CAGGACTATATTCACAAAGTGCCTACATACAAGAGAATGAAGTTAGGTCGTTTAGACCATTGGAGATGAGATGTACATTAAAATATAGCGTTTACAACGTTAATCTCGAATCTGTCTTGTACATCTGCAAAGGTTAGGAAAAGAGAGAGAAATATGAAAGCGAGTTTGACCGGAAACTTTCTAACGCGAATTGTGCAATGTAAGTCTACTACAGGTGGTGGGAATGCACTGGTTCATTCCTAAGCATCGCCCTTTTGCGTTTGTGCAATTGCTCGTATTCAGAACGTGAATGTTAGAAGTGAGATTTAGGCGGGATCGAAGACACTTTCTAGTATATGACCAAACATTTTCATTCGCATTATCTGTAAAAGTCCGAGGACTCCATAGCACACTCAGCCCAAAAAAATTTTTAAATTTTTTAAATATACCATCATATGGAGCTAATCATCGCAGATATGCCCGACTCTGGCAGGGCTATTTGACATGCTCGTCGCAGAATCACTAACTTTTTATCTAGACATCTGCGCAGCCGAAAGCAGAGACCATTCATCTCTTTAACAGCATGTCGAAGAGACACACCTAACGCAGCTCTGAAGTAAGCTCTTACTAAGGAATATGTCCTGAACAAAATATTTCCAGATACTTCCGTGGATGAGTTTTCAGAAAATCTAAAATTTCGTATTTTAGAACACTGAGTGTGCAATGGCGTTTTTGAACTTTTTCAAACTCTTCAAGATCTGTCTATTTACTAATGAGTATTTTTCGCGTCTAGATCTCGCTCCAAGCACTACGTCTTAAATGAATACTTCTATGATTGAAAACAGACGACAGCGAGAGTAGAAAACAAATGCATCGTCACCGCGCCTGCTATCCAGTTTGAATGTCAATAGTATGTCAATTTTACAGGAGTATATTTGCTTTCATGCTTTCATATGTTTTGGAACCATTCTGCATACACTGAATACAAATTAGCGCTTATCTTGTAAACACCATTTGATAATATGTTGAGCTGGCTCTAAAAACATGAAGAGAAGAAGCAAAACAGATATGATCCTAAAGCTAACCGTTTCCTCTCCACAAATATATGCACCGGCACCACGATGTACGAACACGTCAAATGCATAGCCTGTTCCAAAGCAGTCCTTGCCAAGGTAACCAGCCTGTGCAAGAAAATGTACACATATAGACTTCATATTTGGAATATTGTTTATTGTACTGCAAAACGACCACGGTCTTAAATGGATGAGTGATCGAATGGAAACGAAATTTGCAACAATTCGCTTTGAGTTATTTCATTCCCACAATCAGATAATAAAAAACAACGGCGGCAATGTTAGAGAATGACGATCTAATGAACCCCGAAAACGAAAACATATAGTGACGAGCTTATATGAATGCATCACTACCCATACTCTAGAAACAAGACTTTTCCTCCTCTTTTGAAACGGATGCAAACCTTGAAATCGGAAAAAGCTACTCAATTGGAACCCAAAAAAAATCAAAGCAAGTGTATTGCTCTAGTGATCCCTGCACAATCTCGCTTCTATAGATTTCAAAGAAAATATAAGTTTGGACAAAAAGAAAAACTAGGTGATAAGCTTGCCAACGACAAAAGGCAATTTTTCATGAAGTTTTCGTCGAATAAAAACCTATTTTGCGCACAAACTGTGTGAGAGAGTTTGCATCGACTCATCCGACATGTAACCCTAAGTGTCCTATTAGAGTACAATAAAATCCTAGAGAGAACCCAGATATAAGAACATTTATTTATAAGAAATAGGAAAAATGCAACGTAATACCTTATAGGCCTCATGGATAGCCTCTTGGAGGATGCAAGCCTCGTTATAGAATTCTCCACGGATATAGATATAAGCTGCTCGAGCTCCCATTGCCACTCCAGCGATAAGACAACCTTCGATCAACTAAATGCGTTGTCTATCGGAGCTTGGAAAAAATATAATTATTTTTGTGGAGTCTTTGCATACCTTGTGCGGATCGTGACGCATGATTTCACGATCTTTACAAGTTCCAGGTTCTCCTTCATCGGCGTTAACGACAAGATATTTTGGGCTAAAACAACACCTATCATATAAAAGAGAAAACAACTAAAAAATACTGTAAGCGAACTAACCGCCCGTCAAATGGTTTGTTCATAAAGCTCCATTTCATGCCAGCTGGGAATCCAGCTCCGCCTCTTCCGCGAAGTCCAGAAACGCGGACCTCGTTGATAATCCATTCCGAGCCTTTTAATATAATATCTTTGGTTTTGTACCAATCACCCTGCAAAAGAAATAAGCTTTGTGGCGCATGACATACGACATATGGAAAATACCCTTGCGAGTGCTCCCTTTAGGCGGTAATCGTGACGACCGTACAGGTTAGTGAAGATGCGATCTGAGTCCTTAAGATTTCCAAAAGAAGTCTTTTCAGTTTTCTTCTGTGGTGCGGCCGCAGCCGTTGCTGCTCCACGAATGGCAATTCGAGAAGCTAAAGCGGTGTCATTAAAGACTCAATGAGGTCCTCCTACGTAAGATCAAGGCTCAAAGAATGTTAGCCACTTAAAAAATGAAAGCAGATTACCCCTTTTCATTAATGGAGTGAAAGATTTCGTAAGCATATCATTATAGATAAAAACGCTGTACAAACTTCGGTTGCCTCTGCCAATGAAAAAAACTTCAAACGTACCAGAGCCTAGCGTACGACTTCCCAAGACGATGGGAGACGCCATAATAGCGTGGCCTGCAAAGTAAAAGAAAACTGACAAATAAAACTTCCCATGATTCAACAAAAACAAGAAGGAAATGTTGGCTGATAAAGCATAAAAATAAAGTTTCGCTGATAGTCTGGTACATGCTAGACATGCAGACCATAATACGAACAGGCAAACAGCCAGCTTCACATCTCAACGACTCCAACATTAAGAGGTGCGAGGAATTACAGGCGGCAGCCATTCAGTGCCGGACCTAATCCTGCGGGCGAGCCACTGTGCACATGTGGCTTTCTGGACAGCTTCAACTTTTTTTCCTTTTGCGAAAAG